GACAAGGTTGCCCTGTCGACAAGGCTGCCCTGTCCGGCAAATAAACGATACGCGCCCCCGCCCGTCCACCGAAACCTCACTTGGGTCCGTTCCCATCGCAAAGTCCATCATAATAACAAGCTCACAAGTTTTCTTGCATTTCCAAATTCCTTGACCCATTCATAACTTTTCACGGATTTTCAACGTGAAATTCTCCGAGTTTTTCGGCATATAGCATTTTTTGTCGGCCTTCTAAGTGTAGTGGATGTAGTACTGGTTCTCTTATCAAGACGTTACGGGTTTGATTTCCAGCAAGGCGACGCGAGTTTGATGCTTTCAAATAACGGTTACCTCAAACTGGTTGTACAGTAGAGACTGAGGGGGTTGGGACTCTAACTGAAAGCGCAGGATTACCACTCATATGGTATTTGAAGTGGTGAAAAAATATATTAATCATGTGAGTGCTTTTCACAAAAAAAAAAAAAAAAAAAAAAAAAAAAAAAAAAAAAAAAAATCGGCGCCAAGTCTCTTGGAATTGACAGAATTCAGAATTCGAGAATTCATGGGCAAAAGTTCTATTTTTAGTAAAAAAAAAAATAAGAGGACCCATTACGTCTCTCCAATCTTCGACTGGGTTGCTCATGTAGCTCTTGAAGCACTACTACAAATAGGGCAAACAGAATCAACAAAATATGGAAATAGAGCGAAGGAAAGAACGAGCGTTAATGACGGCGCAGAGATACAACTATGCGTGCTTGATGGATGTCCGTGTTGCGTCTGCAAAACGGAAGGCGCGATGGCACGAGGCGTGAACTTGTGGGATTGCTCCGATCTACGTGCCAATCGGATTCGGTAGTAATATTTAAGACGAGGCAAAATTAAGGCTCTTCTGTTATGTGTGTTGTGTTGACACTCGGTTTTTTCTTCTGTTCTTTTCAATTAGGTGTATGATTCCTATAATACAATGTATTTGTAGACCTATATCTAAAGCTCTGTGTAGCAGCCCCATACGTACAACCCACAGGTCACGTGTTTTTGCAATCCTCGGATTAATTTGACCCGGTTTGGGCATCAAAGGCTCAAACAAAAAAGTATACCTCTTTGATCATCAGAATTTTTTTTCATCAGAAATTTTCTCGTTTGGAAAGGTACAACCTATTACTCAATTTTAAATTTTCTAAATTTCTTATCCGAGTGAAGAAGGCTGCGGTGTTTCCAACCGAAACGTCTTGGTCAATTGTGTTAAAAGCCTTCTTGACCGCTGTTTTAATTTTTTTTAAATGTATACAGAGACTCTCTTTTGCAGCGCCCTGAAGAATGAGATGGAAAATTTTTAGTTCATTTTTGTGCCGACAGAAGTGCATCATAGTAAGGAAATTTCAAAGATTTTTTTTTTTTTCCAAATCCGCGGGTTTTGGACTGCAAACTACTAACGGTCATAACTTAAATCTCAGTTCCACATTTTTTAACGGCCTGATCTAGCATGAATGGCTCATTATTTCGTTTTTGGGGACGGAGACTCTTTTTCCCGTGAACGGCTTCATATACTTAGAATCCACGACCGTTGGATTTCAAAACCGTAGGACCATTGGAGTGACGCTCGCTACATACACGTGTCCATGCCATTATGAGGTCGTTATCATCCTTACCTATCCCACGGGACGGGACGGTGATTTTACTCCGCCTGATGCCTTGGAATTAGTACCTCTAAAATAAGATATATAATACTAGCGTCTACCTGGGGACTATTTACGCTTCTCTGCCCAGTTCTTTCTTTCAGAATTTTTGGGGTGGATTTTAAGAGGTGAGTTTCAGTAGGAACCGCCGTAAATTACTTCTGGCTAAGAAGAGAACGAGATGGAAGGAATTTAACCCTTCTCTCTCTTCAAAAATATTTTAAAGGAATCACCAAGAATTTTTAAATTTCATTTTTTAAATTCATCATTTTTTTTAGTAATTAAATGAAATATGTCTGACTCAAGGATCTGCTTGGCAATATTCTGCAAGTTTCAAAAATCCTCGACGAACCCACCTTTCTGCCGAACCCAAAGGGCATAGCCCACCGTCGCCCTTTCTATACCCTCCTCTCAACTGCGCTAAACCGATGCTTGATGCGTTTCCTAATTCTGGTCTCAGCAGAAAACATGTGCACGAGTTGAACAACTAGACGAGCTGACGTCGAAAACACACACGCGAAAATGAAGCAGAGTTGAACGAAACTCTATGCCAATTCAAAGTTTGAGCTGAAAGAGAGCGAGGGTTTGTTTCATCGGGCACGAATCTGTGACGAGGCGTAACTGATCGATTAGATGGATATTTGCTCATTTGAGGCTATGGTAAAGAATCGATTATTAAGGTGTTTGTTGCCAACACCCTGCTCATCGATCCTTTACCATGGGTTTGAATGTCAGATCAATCGATAGATCGCAAAACACGCCACGTCACTGGCACGAATGACCGCGTGCGAACTTTGCCATTAGTTGGCTGAAACGCTGAAACCGATCTCGCGAGGCAGTCTCCTTGATGAGGAAAAATGCTCCCAACTTCCCGTTTCCCGTCTGCGAGAGAGTTATATTCGTCAAATAATTAATCGGGATTTTCACGTAGTGAGCATCGGATATTATTTATGGAAAGCGTCAGACGGAACGTACTTGGAGCAAAAATAATGATAAATGATTAAGCGTTGATTTGAAGGGAAAGGTATCATAGCGCACTTCGTTGAGAGGTAGAAAAATGAAAGAAAATCAGAGAAAATAACGAGTAGGGAAGGACTGTCACTTGAAAGGCTTTAATTGAGATCCCACATTCATCGAAGCAATATTATTTTGACCTGACCTTCTTGAGAGGAGAAAACAGCATAAAAAGTACAGAGAATAACCCATAAGTAAGAGAAGACGGCAAAAGAAACGGATTATTTTCGAAAGTGGCAGTTGATGAAGACAAAGGTGGAGTCAAGGGGAGCGCAGGGCCGTAGGGAACACACGCTCCACGCTCCTTCCCCCTTTCGTCCGAAAAAAAAAGAGTAAGAAAAGAGGAGGAAAGAAGGAAGAAACGAAGGAAAGAGGAAGCAGGAAGATTACACTTGATACTTATTCATGACAAAATTGAATCAAACCGCATCTTAGGTTCTTCAAAATTTTGAAATTTTTCTCGGGGTAGCCCCCCGGACCCCCCTATCCTCTAGTTCGAAGTATCTCGACCCGCCTATGGATTAAGACCAACATTAGTAGAGGTTAAATTGCTTATCCCCGCTAAACTACATTGTCTAGCCAATCTGTAAAAACATTTACGTGCACAGAGAAACCAATGGTGCATACGTCGTTTCGAAACTGACAATGAGTTATATATTGTAATTTCAAATTGCACTATGCAGTCCAACTCGTCCAAAATTTTCCATCGCAGATACAACTGTTTAACCCAGTAAAAAGTCCAATCAGCTGTTAATCTATGTATATTTGCATTGCTATGATGAATTACCTTGATAATTGTAAATTTTCTTAATGCTCATACGTGTTGATTAGCCTGTTGTTAACTCCACCTTCCTTGAATCGGACAAATTTTTTTTAAAAGGAACGATGTTCAAGTGGAAAGATGGGGTGTGCTCGTGGTTAGCTGAGTATAAAACAATGTAAAAGTGGATATAGTTCCTTTTGAGAAAATGGAAAAGTGGGATTAAATCAAAAGGAACTGAGAGCTAACTCGTGAGCCGTGGACATATGACGAGAGCGTTGTGGACAGGGCTTATGAGTTAATACTCGGCGACGGCGGCATCTTCGCCGCTGACGTCACTGCCGCTTAAAATTCCCATTCATTCTTATGACCCTTAACTAACGAGCACACCCCATTTTTCAACTTGCACATATTTCAATTTAGCATAAATAGTCCAATCCTAACGTGGATGAAAGATAAATCGCTCTTTCTATCTATGTTCTAACCCTGTGAAAATTCCTTGCCACTGGGGCATCGACCCATTGTTTGGATGTCAGGGTTTCAGGGAGAAACTAAGTACTGAAGCGGCCATACTTAGATGCTATGAAGCAATCATCAGCACAAAGAAAAAAAACCCTGTTGTTGTAATCGCTATAGACATAAGTAAAGCATTTGNTTCAAAATTTTGAAATTTTTCTCGGGGTAGCCCCCCGGACCCCCCTATCCTCTAGTTCGAAGTATCTCGACCCGCCTATGGATTAAGACTAACATTAGTAGAGGTTAAATTGCTTATCCCCGCTAAACTACATTGTCTAGCCAATCTGTAAAAACATTTACGTGCACAGAGAAACCAATGGTGCATACGTCGTTTCGAAACTGACAATGAGTTATATATTGTAATTTCAAATTGCACTATGCAGTCCAACTCGTCCAAAATTTTCCATCGCAGATACAACTGTTTAACCCAGTAAAAATTCCAATCAGCTGTTAATCTATGTATATTTGCATTGCTATGATGAGTTACCTCACCGCTGTTACCGCTGATAATTGTAAATTTTCTTTATGCTCATACGTGTTGATTATCCTGTTGTTAACTCCACCTTCCTTGAATCGGACAAATTTTTTTAAAAGGAACGATTTTCAAGTGGAAAGATGGGATGTGCTCACTGCTCGTGGTTAGCTGAGTATAAAACAATGTAAAAGTGGATATAGTTCCTTTTGAGAAAATGGAAAAGCGGGATTAAATCAAAAGGAACTGAGAGCTAACTCGTGAGCCGTGGACACATGACGAGAGCGTTGTGGACAGGGCTTATGAGTTAATACTCGGCGACGGCGGCATCTTCGCCGCTGACGTCACTGCCGCTTTAAAATTCCCATTCATTCTTATGGCCCGAGCACTAACGAGCACACCCCATTTTTCCACTTGCACATATTTCCATTCAGCATAAGTAGTCCAATCCTACCGTGGATGAAAGATAAATCACTCTTTCTATCCATGTTCTAACCCTGTGAAAATTCCTTGCCACTGGGGCATCGACCCATTGTAGGGATGTGTGTGTGGCTCTCTAATTTTAGTTGTGTTCTGTTGGCAGCGTACCGTGCGGACGAGAAGTTACACCGGCGGAGCACAGTGCGGATGGGGATCCGGGTGGTGCAGCTGGCCGCGGCGCCGCCGCCGCCCTCGTCCAACGTGGCGACGCCGTGCAGCGAGGGCGGGGGCGGGGGCGGCGAGGGCGGCGGGGGCGGAGGCGGCGGAGGCGGCGGAGGCGGGGTGGCCCTCTCCCTCTCGGCGGCCGCCGGGACCGGGGCGGCGCCCCCGCACGCCTGCGTCGAGAAGCCCTTCCTCCTCAGCGACGGCAAGGTCCACCTCGACGCCCAGCTGGACAAGTCCATCTACAACCACGGCGACTCCATCCTCGTCACCGTCTCAATCAAGAACAGAAGCAGTAAATCCGTCCGAGGCATCAAGGTCAGTATCTTCCACCATGGCAGTTCTGGGTCTTAGAAGGGGGGGGGGGGGCTT